ATACTTAACAAACAAATTACACAAAAAATGATTCAATTCAAAGAGGTCCCTTTTGAGATAATTCCATTTGTTTATTTAATTGTTGCATAGAAAGTACTAAATACCGTTTCTGAGTTTTCATCAAAGCATGGACTTAATAGTAGATCCCATGGCATATTTTAATCATGTATACTCTTCGTTGAATAGTAGAAGCATTATTGAAAAAAAAATTTTTTGCACTTTAAAAATTAAAAAATCAATAACTTGGAAAATTTACATATCATATTAAAAAGAAAAAATACGTGTCATTTTTTTTCCTTTCTAGAACGAGAAAAAAAATTTTCAGGCGAATCAAAATTTTGATTGTAAATCTGATATGGAATGACCCATATTTTTCTGAACACAATGTCGCGATAAAACCTTGTGTTGCAATCTTTTCTAGGTCTAATCGTACTTTGACTGGACTATACGTATCGTGGAAAACTTCGGAATAGATTTCGATCGAAACTGCTCAATTATTTTCTTAGACTTTTATTGCGTTTTCTAGGAGCAACGAAATAATTCCGATCGGAATCCATTCCGGACATTTCCACGATAGGTGCCCAGTTGATATGTAGCTTTTTTTTACCTTCTTTATTTCACTCAGAGCTTTCATTTTTAACAGTGTGCACTTCAAGATCCACGTGCCCGAAATAATAAAACATCAGATTCATACGAAAACAGTGTTCATCCATATTCACAAGCCGGATATCTCGACGGCGCCGAAGAAGTCCAAGCCCAAGGAAGAAGCGCCAAAGAAGAAGAAGACCTATCACAAAGAATCGCATCACGAAAATTGGAGCTCCTGGAGTAATTACGGCTACCACGACGACAAATCGGACAACGATGTGCCCAAGAATCAAAAGGATCACAAGGACGACGACGTCCACAAAGAGATGGCTCATAAGGACAATCCCTTTGCTCAGTATCACAGGGATTCTTACATGCCCGTGTTGCAACACGATGACAAATCCGATCACTCAAAGGGCCGACACGGCGACACAATGGGGTACTCGTATCCGCCGCAATACGCAGTGACGGAGGACGTCAAGGAGATAGATAATAACGACATCGGACCCTATATGCACACGTATGAGGAGGGTTACCACAAGGGAGGCGAGTCCGCTAACGGGCACATTTATTCGGGCGACGTGACGAAATTTTACGACGACAAACATGAGGAGGGCGATCACTCCGTTGAAGAGTATAAGAATGAGTCAAAGGAGAAAACCCATGCAGGCCGTTACTTCGTCGACGATTCTGAATTCCAGCACAATAATAAAGCGGAGAAGCGCGTGCCCTCCAGAATTCGTACGCGGTCGTAAGGAATGACGGAGGGACACGAATATAAAGATAAATCGTGCCAATGATAGAGACATTAACTCTGCGTTCCCCGGCGAGAACTATTGGAAAATTACAAAAGGCGATGGCAAATTTAGATATTCAAATAATTAATTGCATTATCGAAAAAAAAGGAAAAGTTCTTTCAATTATCATCGAATATCCTGTCAAAAATGAACGATGGAGAAAATTAAACCCATATAACACAAAAGCTTGCAACAACATTGCTGCAATATTGCAGCCTTGCATATTGCAGTGTAATGTTACATAGATATTGCAAAGATTATTTTATAATATTAGTAGTGTTGTAGCAATATTATTTTAAAATATTGATATAATTATGCTTGTAATATGTATATTGTTTTCTCATCTCGCTTTTGTGGTTTACTAAAAATGACAAAACGCGCGCTTCGCGCGCGCAGTTTGTAGTTGAGCATTGTGTATTTTTAAGTATTTGTATACATGCAAAAGAGTAATTGTATGCGCAACGGCAATTTAAAATAAAACGTAATTTATCACTCACTGATACGATTCGCAACAGCACAGTTGTACATCGTTAACTATATATGTTAAACTGTAAAAATACAAATATGTATATGATTATTATAGAGTAATTATGTAAAATCGAAATTATTGTATTAAATATGCTTTATATTTTATATTTTTTAAACTATAAAATAGGTATTTAATATAATAATTATATAGAATACTGAATAAGTCTCCCTTTTAAATATAAACTCACAAAATTTAATACGCATGGTTTTGTCTCTAACACTTATTCGAATCCTCGTTCGAATCATTTGAATAAATAAAATAAAAACACAAAACAGATGCTTTCTTTGCACAAGTAGCAAATAATATAAAAATTTAAGACACTTACTTCACCATTTCTGCGCCGTTGTCCGATGCCTCCTGGGCCTGCTCCTCGATCCTCTCAGATTTTCTTGTTGCACTTCACAAAACACTCGCGAAATTCATCGATCGCGCGAAATTTTGGACACTCCCGTACGCGACGTGAGATACCGCGAAACGCACGAAATATTATTACAGTATAACCAGTATGGGCACTCTCTGTCGGCACCTTTGATCTGGGCGTTCTCAATTTTCCGCCATGTTTTTATTCGCGCCAACGGTGTATCAACGGTTAAAAGTGCGTGGGCCCTTTTCAGGATCGTATCCAGGAAAGGCGCATACGAACTGGCGTACATTATTTATTGTAAATAGAAGTGGCCTAGGAAAGAAAATGTTCTAATAAAAGTAATTAATGTAATTACTTGCTCCAACGTATAAAAGTATTTACGCGTTATTCGTTAATACTGCGAATTTTTCAATGTCACACCGACTTTGCACTAACACACGTACAAAAATCCTGTGATTGGTCAGAATAAAAACATGTCGGATGCGCAGTACGGATCGGCGCGAACGTGAAACAAAAGAGCGAGTGCCCATACTGGTTATACTGTGATTATTGACAAATATCGCGTGACTCTCTATCACAAATTGCTCAAACTGACAACTTGCACTTTTGATTCGGAAGAATGGATAAATCACTTTTGAATTGGTGATATAAAACGCAACGCGAGCATCCTTTACATATTGTAACGACGTGCAATAAGCGACTTTCTTTACTTCCTGCCCGTTCGACTTCCGAAGAACGACAGAGCAAATTACAGCGCGAAAGCCGAAGCCGTACGAATTTCTCTCTTTTCCCGAAAAGGTAATTATTT